AAGCTCTGCGTTCTCAGAATCCGGTCCGAGATCAACGGTAAGCGGTGATTCCCTGATCTCGCTGGTAGGGCTAAACAAGCACCTAGCCTACAGCCTTTTGGAGGATGCCATTGTTCAGCCATCGCTCAATCCATCAAAGCACTCCATTGCATTGTTCCTGTGCTTTGACTGGCGCACAGCCTACTGATTTTGACACAAAGCTACATCACACAGAAACAATATCAGTACCAGAGACTCGCTACATAATAATCTGACAACACACACAGACTGACAGGTTATCGCTGGACTGCAATATTTGTGCTGACATATTAACAAGAGAAGAAAGGTTTCATGCCAGCTTGCTGCATAACTGTTCCTGCTGGATAAAGATCGTACAGTAACTGCTAGGCCATCTTCGCTTATAGTTGCCCCCTATGAGTTCCATCCGCTGAACAATTGCCAGTGAGGATTATAAGTTTATAACCCCGTGCGTTGGTCTCGCTTAACAGAAACGGGGCAATCTGCAGCAAAAAAAGTGTTGTGACTCTCAAAATGCACAGACTCTGGTGGTGTAATCATGAGCTATCAGTATAAACCTTAGCAGGACTTCTATTTTCTTCTGAAGCAAGGAAATAGGCCTGATCTTCCTTCTTCTAGTAAGTATCCCAAAGGGCACATGATGAATGTGGTCACGGAAGTTGTGTATACATGTTACAGTTATCTAAGACGACACACAGTTGTTTGTTTGAAAACATAATCAGCATGTGAGTTAAACAATGCAGTATTTCACATCTCTGAGATAAAAAATTACGAGGGCTATCCAACTAACCATGGAGAAAATCCATTATCCAAAAATAAATAAACTTCATATAACAGTGCAAAGACATGGTTCAGGCGTTCAGCAAATTTTCGACATGCTCACTGATTGAGCACAAATAATCAAATTTTGCATGCACTACAAGGGATACTCTTTACTAGTTGCTTCACAGAAACATCAGGTCCATAACAAAGCACAGATTTATATTCTTCACAGCGTTTTAATCCATGTAAACAAGCAATCTGACATCTGAAATGCAAAAGACGTGAAGAGAAAAAAAACAATCAGGGTCACGTCTCAATCATACGGAACACATTATGTTAATTAAGTTGATACTAATAAACCTAATAATATAGGAAGACCTCGAAACAAAGGACAATATCTATCAGCAGCAAGTCTATGAATCCATGTGCCTGTAAGATGTGCAATTACATGTGAAGTCATTTCTCATTCTTAGACATCTCAAACAACCTCTAGGGATGTCCCGCTACTTATTCAGTAAACAGACCACCTAAATACACAGTAAGCAAGCCACCTAGATACACAGTAAACAAGCCACCTAAAATACATAAATAACTGGACCGATAAGGGAATGATACCGTCCAAGTCCAATGGAGATAACTTTAGTCACCAGCGACACAAGCATCAGGACACAATCACATACAATGAACACAGATAATCATTGCCAACAAATTCAGAAATTAGAACACCAATCAATGTGCTAGATCGAAGTCAAATTCAATTATTGACAACATCTGGAGCATTTTACAGGTGCCTACTGCCTGTTAATGGATGCGAAAACAACAAAATAAGAACTGATTGAGATGCCAGCATGTTAATGCACTAACCATTACCTATGGTCAGTTCATGCAAGGAGGGGTAATGCTGGTAATGGATTTAAAACATCCAACCAACCAAGATAATCTAGTGAATAATAGAGTTTCAGAACAGTAATAAATATCCTTCTTCAAGCAGATTCACATGAGACTGGGTGAATAATAGAGTTTCAGATAAATGACTGCCTGACCATTGTTTATGAGCCAAACGTAGAAAGTCATACATAAGATGTTAAGGAAAAAAAACTAATCAGGGTCACGTCTCAATCATACGGAACACATAATGTTAATAAAGTTGATACTAATAAAACTAATAGTATAGGAAGACATCAAAATGAAGGACAGTATCTACCAGCAGCAAGTCTATGAATCCAGATGCCTACAATATAGTTGTCCCAATTCACAACCGAACAATTATAACTAGTAAGATGTGCAATTGCATGTGAAGTCATTTCTCATTCTTAGAAGTCTCTAAAACATCTTATATTTGTTTACACAGGTAGTAAATAACTAGACTGATAAGGGAATGATACCGTCCAAGTCCAATGCAGATAACTCAAGTCACCAGCGACACAAGCATCAAGATAGAATTGCATACAATGAATGTAGATAATCATTGCCAACAAATTCAGAAATTACCAGACCAATCAATGTGCTAGATCGAGGGAAAATTCAATTATTGACAGCATCTGGAGCATTTTACAGGTGTTTTCTGTCTGTTAATGAATGCTAAAACAACAAAATAAGAACTGATTGAGATGCCAGCTTGTTCATGCGCTAACCGTTACCGATGGTCAGTTCATGCAAGGAATGATAATGCTGCTAGCCTGCTAATGAATTAAAAACATCCAACCAACCAAGAGCATCTAGTGGTATGAATATGTGAGTGTGACACAGTTTATGCTGCAGAACTCTCTAAAATTAAGTAGCAGAACAGTAACAAATATCCTTCTGTAAGCAGAATCACATGAGACTGGGTGAATAATAGAGTTTCAGATAAATGAGTGCCGGATTATTGTTTATGAGCCAAACGTAGAAAGCCATCCAAGTAGGAAAAGCAAACTCAACATTACATATGTTAATACAAAGCAGAACTGATACTGTAACTTTTTTTTTGGAATTAGAAGCTACTGGAGTTAATCCTCTCAAATCCCTCAACCTAACCCCTACATTTCAACTGAACCTGTGACCTCTCATCAGCTGAGCCGCAACTTGATTCCTGGAAGGGCTTCATATTTGATGATGTGACGTTGGTGTTTACAGTTCTATCTTTAACAGCCAAGGTGCAAGAAACATCCATTGTACAGAGGACTTACATAGTTTGTTGTGTGCAAATGGGCTCATGTGAGCATCAAGAAATCAACTAAGATGGTGCACCAGCCAGACACACCATGGTTTTGCTTCTCATGTAAATCAATACTCGAGCTATAATGCCAGTGGAGTATTCAAGTCGGAGCATGGCCGTCCAATTAAAGAGGAAAACTGATCATGGAATTTCAGTAGAGGACACTTCTCAATGAGATTAGTATCATCGTAGGCCTCCTTGAGAAAGACGGTACTTCTTGCTCCCTTGTTAGTGATGTAGAAAATCCCATGATTTTTTATCAAGCAAAGGAGTAGCTTGCATGGCAGCCTGTACTCGTTATGGAAGACTTCTAGCTTGTCAGATGTCAGTCGTTTCTGCATTGTCAAGCTTAAGACCTCATGTAGAACAGCAACAGATCGCTTCCGAGCCTGTGGAGTTGCAGGCTCCACTCGCCTAGCGTTCAAATAAGGTGAAGGAAACGCCATCTTCTGCCACCTGACTACCTCCTCAAGGTACTTCCGGTTGGGCCTAAATCCTGCTGGATACTTTAACTTGAAAGCAAAAGGACCCAGTAAATTTCCATCTTTAGGAACCCCTCTGTACTCCATTTGGAAACCATCGAAGTTCAATTTTTCTTCTCGTGCTGTGACTGCTAGTGAAGAATCCCAACTCTCCAAACACAGATGGTCCAACCCTCTCACGTCACGTATTGAAAAAAAATCAGGGTAACTAGGAATCAACTTGTCCTTGAAATTCTTTGGTAGACCCAATTCAGGTTGGATGAGCTCAATCTTCTCTAAAGGGATCTGGCAGTCCATGGACATCATTAACAGCTTCCTCAGATTTCTTACCAAGATAGGTTCCATTAGCTCCTGTGCTTGGATCTCCTCGCCAGAAATATTTCTGGCCTTCTCAGTAAGCGTGACAGCAATGGGTTCACGCGATGTACTTCCATCAGAGACACGGAAGATATTGGGGTGGCGCTCAATCAGTGCAACAAAGTTCCATTTTTGGACAAAGCCAACCTCCTTTTCAAGGTCACGTACAAGTAGTGAACCTGTCTTTTGGGCCAGGATGAGCTCACGGAGACGGAGGAGGAGGGCGGGCTTCTTTTGGAGGTCCATGGCCTTGTCGAGACCAGGCTCACGGTGATAAAGCTTCTTCTTGGGACGGCGTCCATGACCAGCAGCGAATGAGGACATTTCCTTGAATTGTATCAAGGAAAGCGATCTGGGAATGTAAGATAATCGTTCTGCCAATCTTCTCATCAAAGTTACGTCTTAAATGCAAGTCTGTGTAGGCACCGCAGGTCCCGAGCATTCAGGAGCGCAGAATAAAGAGGCAGAAAGTGTACCTCAAATTCTGCAAAGAAAAAGGGGGGACAGAATGTTCAAGCCATTTTAAACAACAATAAGCTTTGCAGCTAAGGAATAAATTCATAATACCAAAAGCCTGTATTTCAGAAGAGCAACTCATAGCAGCAGTGGCAGAAGGAAGAACATTTTACAGGGTTCGCCACCTCTAAAAAAATTATCAACATCACACGCATAATACGGGATTGGCCAGAAGAGCAATATAAATAGCTTAATCAAGTCTCACAACATTAGAGTTCACTAAATATGTTTGAATTTTGCAAAATATTATGCCCTGAAAAATTTGCAAGTATTACAACACAACTAGTCGGCGAGATGAAATAGATGAGTACAAAATCCACAACATTAATTAAACCACTCTACGCTTTTGCATTGCCATAAAAGCATCAGCTACTTATATCATAGCATCTTCACTCACTTTCAGGAACATAGCTCACTCAGTAAATGTCACCAAGCAGGCAATCGATGGTTCACGAGTTGCTCGTCCGTACTACTGTTTACCAACTAGCAGCTCTGAAAAGACTGAACCGAGACAGTACTAGCTTCTACAATCACACTGGTTACCTCGAGCAGCTGAGTCGATCTCGATGCCCGACGGCGCTCATCGGTCGCGTTCAGGTCCTCAGGACGTCACCGAGCGGAGCTCGCCGGCGGGAGTGGAATGGGCAGAAGACTGCTCGTGCTCGGAGTCAGGCGGCGACGCAGGCCGCGGCCGTGGGAGAGTCAGGATGGTGATGGGTACTGGGGGGCAAGGGGAGGCGTGGGGCGGGGCAGACGTGGAGGCGGGAGGCGGGTCGCCGGGGCGGCCAGGTCAGGTCAGTTGTGGCGGCGGCGGCGTCTGGTTCATTCGATTCGATGGCTCGACCTCGATGGAACAGCCGAGCAAGGCCACAGCACCGGTGGTGGGCTGGATCAGCCATCCAGCCCAGTCTGGGTAGGCCGCCACAAACTCCACCAGTACTGTGCTACAGTACAGCTAACACGGCAGGGCTATATCTCGCCCGTACCGAGAGCTCTTTTGTTTCGCCTCTGCCGCAAGGTTAGTTAGTAGGCGGAATTGTTTTTTGAATAATATAAGTAGAATTTACGATTTATAAATATTTTTAAAATTCCATGATTTTTTCAGGAAATGCGTGAATGTTTTTTCAGGGTCAAGAATATTTTTTTGAATGGTATCAGCATTTATTAAAAGTAGCATGCACAATTTTTTACATTGCATTAACGTTTTTCTAATGTGCAGCAAACTTTTTAAAAGTTGTATAAAATATTCTTCTATTTTAAAATTATAAGTAAAAGTAATAAAAAAATTGTGCTATTGAGACAGTGCTCCTCCGATGTTGGGCCAGCCCATTTAGGGGCGCGCGGGGGTTGGGGGGCACTTGAGGCGAGTACCTCGCTATAAGCGAAACAAAGCTCGGCATGTGGGTCATCTGGAAGCACCGGAATGCTATCGTCTTTGACGGTGCGGTACTCTCCGTTCTCCAGGTGCTACGACGATTGGATAGTGAGGGGAGGGTATGGAGGCAAGCAGGGCCCTTGAGAGGGGATCTAGATGGAGTGTTTGCAGGGCTAGCAAGGTGGGCCGAGCGTGAGTGGTTGCTTCGTGTATAGGCGGATGCGGTCGGCGGTGGCCTTGTTAATAGGGAAACGTTTTTCGTCGGCGCACCGGCCGAACCGTTCCGCCGGTTCGCACGCCACGCTGGCAACGCGCCCGCGCGATCCCCGCCTCCTTCCTTACATGCCTCCATCCCCTACCTTCAGCCTACGTGCGCGCACCTCCCCTCCCCCGAGCTGCGACTGGGCCTCCACGAACTCCATCGCCGGCGGCCAGGCGCTCCCTCGCCGGCGGCCAGGCGCTCCCTCGCCGGCCGCCATGGCTGCCTGCTGCCATGGCCAGATCCATCCCTAACCTACAGCCTTCAAGGGCGCGCATCCCCTCCCCTCCTCCTCCTCCCGGGCAGCGACTGGGCCACCACAAGCTCCATCGCCGGCGGCCAGGGCGCTCCCTCGCCGCCCACCATAACTGCCTGCCCGCCATGCCCGGATCCACCCCCGCGTATAGAAGTGTTGCAACCATCACCTAAAAAAGCTTCAACGGCCATTCAAAAAAGCTTCAACCATAGACATAGAAAGCTTCAATGGCACTGCACAACAAGGGGGAAGCTGCAACCATAGTTGAATGTTGCTACCACCGGCGAAGCTTTTTGCTACATCCATCAGGCGGAGCTCGGACCCTCGCGACGACGACAACGATGTTTTGCTGCAACCGTAGCAGGATTTTGCTACAACTAGCATCGTTTTTTGCTACCACGGCAACCGGCGGAAGCAGCGACCAGCAATGCTTTTCCAGCAAATGATTTTTGTCCCGGCAAAACCCAGAGCTGGAACCAGCTTTTGTTTTTGCTACAACCTGCAAATCGAGAGCTGGAACCAACAACATTTTTTGTTGGAATCAAAAGAAGCAGGGGCTTCAACGGATGTACGTCAGAGCTGCAACCAGTGCTGAAAAATGCTACATCCGGTAGCCACGAAAGCTACAACCAGCTTGAAAAATGCTTCAACTGGATATGAGGTAGTTGGGGGTCGGCATCTCGCAGCGACAAAAAGCTGCAACCGGCTTGGAGGAAAGCTACAACGCGCTTCTAAAAAAGCTTCAAACCGAGAACGGCTAGCTAACAATGGTGAGCGGCGGCGACGGAGCTGCATGGGCGCGCGGTGCTGCGACGGGCACGCGGCGAGCTATGATGGCGGACTGCGACAATGCTGGAACCCTCACCCGGCGGTGCTGCAACCAGAGGGAGGGAGACACGCCCGGCCCGACGGAGCTGCATACGGCGAACGCCCCAGGTGAGCTGCGACGGCGAGCAGCCCCGGCGAGCTGCGACGGCGAGCTGCGACGGCGAGCGGCCCCTGTGAGCTGCGACGCGGCGCCCAAGGGCGAGCACGAGGAGGCTGACCCGCGGAGATTCGTTTTTTTCCTGCGTTTACGCGTGCGTGCGGGAGGAAGAAGAAGCCGGGGGCGATTCGTTTTTTTTTTCCTGGATCCAACGACCCGCGCGGCTCACATCCAACGGCCTGGGCTAGACCGGCCGAAACTTTCGGCCGGCGCACCGGCGCCTATCAGCGCCCTTGTTAATAACGTTGTAAACTGTTGGGAAGTCTTTCCCCTTCTTCTTTATAGAATGAGTTTCGTGCGTATTCGAGAGAGAGAAACGTTGTTCACTCTGATAGGCACTGTCCTTTGTTCCAAGCTTGATCAGATATAATTAGGCAGGGATGTACCATCACTCATGTAAAATGTTTTAAATTCGAATGAATGGCGCCTTTGCTTGTCCAGAAAAATAAACAGGATGTGTGTACACAAACAACTCAGCTCTCGTCCTGTCAGGACAATGACAGACAATCACGCGGTGGCGCAAGGCAGACGCCGGCCGTGGTGTGGTGCATAGCATGCTCCGGTTGGTTGCATCATTTCATTGGCCTCCGGTGAACACACACGAGCCGTAGCCTGCAGAAACCAAACCACAGGACGGAGATGTTAAAAACACAGCACAGTTAATGAACCAAGTACAATGATATGCAATTGTCTGTCAGCCGGCACATGTAATGCAATGGACAATGAGTAGAATGAAGAAATCAATGGCGAATGTGCAGGGGGGGAGTGCTTACTGGGGTTGGTGGATGTGAGGGTGGCGGACTGCCGGAAGTCGCAGTTCCACGGGTGGCTGCCGGCGGCCTGGTAGAGCTGGTTCATGGCGTAGGCGGCGTGGGCGCGCACCGTGTTGGGCTGGAAGCAGGCGCCCCCGGGCTGGATGGCGCCGCAGTCCACGCCCACCTGCGAGCACGCGTAGTCCAGGTCCGTCTGCAGCTGCGCGTCCGTCGCGCCCGCGCTCGCCACGCACCATCCCCCTGACCCCTTGCTCGGGGTCGGAGTCGTTGGCGTCGGCGTGGTGGCCGTGCTGCCGCCACCTCCACCGGACGAGGAGGAGGTGAGGCCGGCGTCGTAGGCCATGGTGAGATCGGTGTGGTAGAGCCCGAAGGCCCGCTCGGAGGCGGGGCCGGGCTTGAGGTCCTCGTCGTAGAGCGCGAAGAGGTAGGTGTCGACGGGCCTCCCCGGCATGAGCGGCGTGCCGGCGCCGGACCTGAGGTGGGCGACGAGGTTGGAGACGTAGGCCCTGGCGTTGTCCACGGTGGCGCCTTGCTCCGTGGGATCGCCTTTCGTCGGCCACCCGGTCTCGGCGACCACGATGTCGACGGCGCCGTAGCCGGCGCGGCCGAGCGCGGACTTGACGGCGTCGACCTGCGCGTCGAACATGTTGGTGTAGGTGATCTTGGACCCGGCGTCGAGGCGGCCGGCGTTGGGGCGGAAGAGGCAGAATGCGAGCGTGTCGGGGCGCGGGTCGGACTGGTACGCGAAGTAGGGGTAGGGGTTGACCATGAAGGGCGCGCCGGTGCGGCTGAGGAAGCCCAGGATCCCCTGCAGCTGGGCGGCGGCGTCCGGGCGGAACGCGCCGGTGGAGGGCGGGTCGGACTGCGCGAGCACGGCCATGGTGTTGACCGTGGAGAACTTGATGGCAGCTGCCCCGTCGCCGGCCGCGACGGCGGCGGCGCGGAGGTTCTGCATGGCCGGGAGCAGCGCGGCGGCGAGCGCGGCGTCCCCGGACTCGAGCACCTCGTTGCCGACGGCGACGACGGAGACGGCCGTGGCCGGGACGAAGGGCAGCACGTTGGCGGCGAGCCAGCCGGCGGCGGCGTTGGGGTCGGCGGCGATGGCGGGGATGTCGCCGTTGGCCACCCCGAGCACGAGGGAGACGCCGGTGCCGGCCAGCGCGCGGATGAGGCCCGCGTCGACGCCGTAGAGGCGGAGCTTGGTGATGGCGGTGGACTTGAGCAGCCGCGCCGTGGCGTCCGGCGGCGGCAGGTTGTCCGCCACCTCGCCGTAGTTGACGCCGATGTGCTGCGACTGCGCGTCTGCACGAGCAAACCCAAATCCAGACACGAATCGAAGTCGGTAAAATTGCTGCGCTTTAGGGAGGAAAAGCTGGGGACTCGCGACGGGGATTGCTCGGAAAGCGGGGGCACTTACCCGATATGGCCACGAGGCAGCAGAGCAGGACGGGCGCGAGGAGCAGCAGCTTTCTCGACTCGGCCTCCATGGATGGATTCTTGCTCGGATTTACCTCTGGATCGGCTCTGTTAAGACTTAAGACGCGGGGAGACGGGGAGGAGGCCGGCCAAGTCGAGCAAGAATCGTATGCGTACTGTTGGCGCCCTTCGAGGTGACGGTAGCGGTGGCGGGTGGCGCCCGGCGTTGCGTGGCCGCGGATTCCAGGCAAGGTATTGGGTGTGGAAGGGGGCTTGGGATTTGGAGCTCTGCGGTGGCCACGTGCGTGCGGCGCGGCGGAGCGGGCCACCGGTCGCGGTCGACGGAGATCGCCCCGTTATGAGAGCTGGCTACTGTTGCATGCGTGGTGGTGTTGAGAGCTGGGACGGCGACAGTGCTTGCCCGTTGGACAACGTAGGGCATGGTGCGTTTGGTGGGTTCTCGGGTTAATGCCGCCCGATCATATCGAAGCGACAATGGCTTGTGCACCGCGCCGTGCAATAATTCGTGTGCTGGCCTAGCTCAGTCAGCAAGGCCTCTTCTCTTCTCTCTGTGTAGGAATTTTATAGGATAGGATTTGCAAAAGAGTAATGCATCTATAATACCTACATAGTTCATCTCCATTATTCTATTTCTCTTGACATGCAGCATGTCTACCTCGGCAATCACTTTCTTTTTATTTTCATCAAACCATATGATTCAACTCTGGCCATCGTTTCCGGCAAAAAGTAAAAAAACTCTGGGCATCGCTTCCGTCTTCTGTAACCGACGCGTTAGCGCAAAAGCCCAAAACCAGCCCATCGGTCGATCTTCTGGTCTGTTAGTCTTCAGGTCTTCCCTATATGGATCAAACCAATATCATGGCACCAGATAATTGGCGGTACACGAACAAAACAACTGAAACCGGAAAAGTAGGATCGGATCGCACAGGGCGATCAGGAGGCGACGAGGCCCTTGCGCGCCACCGGTGACACCTCCGGTTCCCTCTCTCTCCATCGGCCGCTCCGGCGGCGGGAGGGAGGGAGAACCTCGGGTTTGTTCGCTAGGTGGGTGTGTGGTAGGGTTAGGGTTGAGGGAGACGCTGCCGAGGCCATTGTGGTGGTGTCGCGTCGGAATAAGTTTCTCCGGACTCCGTTCGCGGTCAGGCGAGGCTTTTGCCTTCGTCTAGGAGCCAGCGGAGTTGGGGATCCTCGGGTCTCGTCGAGGTCACGGGCTTTGGTGGCTGGAGGTCCATCGGCACTGGCCGTTTGGGTCCTCAGATGGGCGATGGATTCAGGGAGACGAAGACCCTTCTTCTTCCTTGTTGGTATGATTTGCTGCTGTTGTTCTTCTCCTTCCTCTGTGCTGATGCTGGTGGGAGATCCTGCTTTGCCTGGGCGGATGGCCCGGCCACGGTGCTGGACCGGTCGGATGACTCGAGTTCTCTTCCTTCCGGAAGGGACACTTCTCGCGGTACTCAAAGCCAAAGATGGCGACGACTGTTGCAGGTGTGTTAGATTGATGTACATGCCCTCTCAGCGCTGGTGTCAAGAAAGGAGGAAGCAACGTGGCGGCAATTGTACCGTGGTCGAAGATGATGACCTTTTTGCAACTGGTTGCATATCCTTCTGCTGCACGGGTCTTCTCTCAAGATTTAGGGATGATGACACAGGGCTCCGGAGATCTTCCTGTGTTATGGTTGTCTTAGGGTACTCTAAGTGTTCATGGTCCTTTGTTTTTGCGTTTCAGTGTGCTTGTAAGGGTCACCTACTCTGTACTGGTTCGTGATTTGAATGAACAATTTCTCAAAAAAAATCATGGCAGCAGAAAGGGCAACGGTGGCACCCTCATCCCTACATCATCGGATACGCCACTGTCGCCATCAACCAAAAGCCATATACCACCGGCCGGTGGCCTGTTACCGCCGCCGCCGCCGCCGCCATCGGCCGATTAGGATGGAACTTCTCTGCTGCAAGCCGCCCCCTCCACACATATCCAGATGCACCGGTCAGATTCGCCGTCAAGATGAGAAGCACTTGCCTCTCGGGACAGTGCTGCTACCATGCAGCCTCGATGCGCCCAAGCCCCGGTGACCTCCACCACGACCATCCTTTCCAGAAGCAGGGACGACGCCGGTTCTCGGACGACTTTTCCCCGTCCCTGCGAAATTGCCCCTTTAAACAGTGGAGGTGCATCGATCCCATCGTCTACGACATGGGCTTGGTATATCCGGCAATCTGTCTTTCATTATTGACCTCAAAAGCACATGTGTAGTATCATAGTTATATTTACTGACGCATACCACTATGATTATTTAGCTGTTGTTGCAGATCCATTATCTTTCTCCTGAAGTTCAGTAGTTATTTATCAAAGATAGAAAGGAGAAGATTTGATGTCATGCCACTCAGGTATCAGTATTGTACCTATATTGTTTTGACTCGTTGAGTGTTGTGTAGCTTAAGTATTATGTGAGATCAAAGGGAATTAACTCCAGCAAATTGATACAAAGATCATTTGTGAGGGTTGTGTGTTTTATTTTCTGTTAGTTGTTACAGGCAATTGATTTTCGCGGCTTGGCGTTGGTGGTCATAGTCTATGACAGGAACATTGGATTAGAAAAAGGTGCTATCTAGAAATGTCTCATCGTTGCCAGTTGGAATCACAAACCATGCGAATGTTGCCAATTTTGTCTTCATTCACAGATTTAGTCCTTTACTAGCTAGCTTCAGTGGTTCTAAATCTAAGTTTCAGGGATTTACAAAAGAGCAACATTCAGGGTCACATATAAAGGTCAGATAGATAGTGATCTATTCCAGTCCTTGGCCATGGAGTTCATTTGTATGTGTATTGTGCTCTTAAATAAATATTTGATGATATGTCCGACATCACCTAATAGTTTTGTGAACACTTGCTAGATTATATGGTACATTTGAGTTTATGCAGTATCTTATATTCTTCTGATTTTGTATATGACAACGTAGTTATTAAGATCGCTGCCCCTAAATGCAGCCTCTAGAAAGGTTAGACATTTTCTATTCATTTCAGAAAGTATTTTCTGGAGCCTAATCTGAACCATAATTTCCTGCAAAAAACTAATCCGAGCCATAAAATACTTCGAGGCATCTCCAAACAAAGAGCTGATTACCCATCCATCTTCAACAATAAGTATCCACAGGTTTGCCAGCAAGCATAAAATAGAAGTTAAAGGCTCTATTTAAACAAGTCTGACCAAACTTTTGTTGTAGCCCAATGATCAAAACACTAGATGAGTCAAACAATACTATACCGCCTCACCAACCCGCAACTATGGACACGAAGAAAAAACAAAATAAGTAACAATTTTGTAACTCTTTGTATAGAGCGATTAGTTCAGATCAATTGAACATTGTGACGCCCGGATAATCTTGCTAAAATAATCCCACGCTAATCAAGCCACGTCATCCCGATTATCGATGCTAAACGTCCGTTAGTTCAAACCGCGTCAAATTAAAATTTAAAATAAAGGCAAACGACAAAAGTTTTGAAATATTAAAACTAAATTGTTTGGGTTGTGTCAAATAATGCATAGGTAATTATGGTGGAGAAACCATATTTTTATAAAAGGTTTAAATGCACTTAAGTAATTAAAGTGGTAGGTAAGACAATTAAATATATGCATTTTGGATTTTATAAAATACTATACTATTTTGTTCAGGGTTAAAACCTTTTGTGGCAGTAGTTATAATTGTAACTCTATTTTAGATGTGGGTTTCACTTTTTGTAAAACTATAAAATATTACATAAGTAAAAGAAAACAGAAACAAGAGAATAAATAAATAAAAGAAAATACGAAAATAGAAAACTGTAACTAAACTAAAACAA